GCTTGGACATAATCCTTGGCTAGAATTACTATTTCAATATACAAGTTGTTTCTATACTAGTCCAGAAAATTTTTATTTGATTCCAATAAAATCTGAAAAGGATTTAGGAAGGAGAAGGACGGAACAAACTGACTCTTGTCTTGGGGCTTGGGGGAGTGTGCAAATATATCAGAAAATATCTTTAATTTAGCAACAAAAAAGAATAAGCCAGAACAGTTAACACCCAAATCTCAGTAATTAAAACCTTATGATTGTGACTTATAAACAGTCCCTTTCCTGGAACAGAAAGGAGTCCAGAAATAGACCTCGATACATATATAAATTATCTGATAATGGTAGCATTTCAAATTAAGGGTAAGATTGCTTATTCAGCAAATGGCCTTGGGACATTTGGGTTCCCATCTGAAGGGGGGAGAAGAAATGAAAAGGTGTTTCATACTTTATAGCCTTTATTCCAAAATAACTTCCAGGCGTATCAATGATGTGAAACTATTTAAAGGACAGTTGAAAGTGTGGAAGAATTTGTCAATTATCTATCCTACCTTGAAGATGCTCTTCTGTACATAGAAAATTGCCCATCTTTCTCCCACAGAGCAGCTGGTGGGTTCGAACCGTATACCTCAGAGTTGGCAGTGCAACCTCTTACCACTAGGGCACCAGAGCTCCCTGACACAGCGTTAGAACCACAAGTCCTAACCAGGACGGAGTGTTCTGTGGGATTTGTGAAGCACAGGTACGATTTGTGGAGTATGCATGTGTATAGTAGCACATCCTGTGAGTGGGTCCGTGGTGTGCTGTTTGACACAAAGAGAAATAAGGCTTCATGGTGGACAACAAACGGCCAATCACACCCCAAGATTTGCTGTTTATCGAGCTTAGGCGCAGCTCCCAGGCAGAAGTTACCTTGAACCTGCCCAGGAAACCACACATTGGCAGCCCCAGCCCTCCCTGACTTGCCAGTGGTTTCTAGGAAGGTGGGGGCAGCCAGTTGGGGTGTTTGACTTGACTGACGTTCAGCAAACCAGGAAGGGGTGGCCGGAGCCCAGCTGAGCAGAGCCGCATCTGACCACACACCCAACCTGTGTGTGCCTTGGCTGCGGGGACTTCCACCCCTCCGTGGGTCTCACACCGCAGCCCCGGCCGGCACAGAGGGGCTCTGTGTGGAGCAGAAAGCACCAGTGTGTGCCTCAGCCAGCTGGGGCCTTGTGGGGAATGGCACCTCCGGGCTCACGTCTCCGCTAGCATCCCTGCAGAGGTTGCTTCTTCCTCTTCTGTTCTGGTCTATCCATGGCCATCCCCATAGTGACTGGGTGAGGGGCCAGCTCTGGAGTTGCACTGTCCAGGCTGCATCTCAGCTCCATCAGCTGTGGCCTTGAAAATCACTTAGCCTCTTGGGCTTTCATTCCTCAGCTGTAAAACAGAGCTTGAAAGACGCTTAACTCCTGTAAAGTGCAAGGAACAGTGTGCCGTTTATGGAAGGTGTGCAGTGGCATGGGGTACAGTAGGTGAACAATGTCACTCAGTGTTCGTAGGAGCCACCTGCCTCGGGCGGGGCTCCCGCTGGAGACAGATCTTGATGCAAGGACTCAAATGTAAAGCATTTTTTTTATCTGTGAGCAAACTCCAAGGCAGTAGAGAGCAGGGAAGGAAGAGGGGGTGAGGCTGAACATTCAGTCCTGCTGGGGACCCTTAGGGCCAGTGAAGGACACATTCCCGAGATACTTGAGCAAGCAAGCTGGCATGATTATGCACCAACTCCCACCAGGGTTGCCCCTTAAGCAGGTAGGTAACCAGCCTGCCTTGTTGTCCAGGATTGTCCTTGTTTTAGAACCCTGGGTCTCACAGATGATGGAGTGTTGAAAGTCTGGTGGTGTAAGCCCACCCAGAGGGTTTCATAAGGCCTGCCTGGTAATCTGCTTCTGTAGCAACACAGCCTTGAAAACCCGCCCTGGGGGGCTGTTGATCTTTGTGCACAGACAGTTACTGAGTCAAGATAGACTGAATGGCAACTGATTTGGGCGTATTTGGGGGGGGGGGCGGTGTTCCTAGTGTTAGCATGAAAACTTCTGCAATCCTGGGAAATGCCTAGTCCCAACTTGGATGGCTGTTGACACCACCAGGAGGGCAGTCCTTCACCAGCTTTGCCAGCCCTCTGTGCTGGGCAGACACACCTCCAAGAGCAAGCCTCAGGCAGAGAGCCAGGTGTACGATCTGAGGAGCAACCATTCACTACAATGGAGCTAAGTGGGTGAAGGCCAACCTCCTTTTATAGATGAGGTACGTGAAGTTCAGAGAAGCTAAGGGACCTGCTCTGGGGGACAGATAGAAGCTGTCTGGCCTCGGGGACTCAAACTCAGGTCTGTCTAATATGCCAAAGCCCATGTCTTCCTTCTACAGAGTAGATAAGGAGTCACAGGCTGGTGACGCTGGAAGAAGACGGAGGATCAACTAGTCCAGTGATTGGGACCAGAAACATCTTTGACAGGCAGGCAACAATGAAGGGAGATGAGGATAAGGTGCTTGTTGTTGTATGGTGCCATCAAGTGTGACTCCACGACCCTTTGAACCACAGACCAGAACCCTGTGCCAACCTCACAATCCCTGACACACGTGAACCATTACTGAAGTCACTGTGTCAATCCTTCTCGTCGAGGGTCTTCCTCTTTTACCAACCCTCTATCTTTCCAAGCATGATATCCCTCTCCAAAGAATAGCCCCTCCTAGGTGACCAAAAAGGAATATGTCGTCACAGTTACTGAGTTCAGGCTGGCTACTGCCACCTGGAAATGAAGGCCCAGAGTTAAAGCATCAGAATTTTCCATAGAAGGATTTTGTATGGGATATCTCCCAAGTTTTAATGTTGTCTAAGAATTTTCTAGAACACACTGCAAACCAACCCTGTGTGCACACAACGCTGGCTATAGGCCCCTGGCTGCCCACTCGTGGCCCTGAGTCACGTACAGCTAGGAGTCCTGTTGGTTTTTCCTTAAAGGAGGTCCCCGCAGACACAGAGGCTGGCATGGTGAGCTTGTCCGCGCACACAGCCACCTCACTCTAGCTTCATTCAGGCACCCTGCTAACTTCTTCTGGGCAGTTCCCACAGGTGTGTACCCATGTGTGTGATATCTGCTGGTTGTGAATAGGCCAGTCAGTGAAGAGCTGATGGCTGGAGTCTTGCCAGTTAAGCCTTGCTGTCCTGACAGCTGGATCTCTTCCTAGGATCCAGGACCAGCCTCCACCCAGCAACTCCAGGGTTCACCCAGCACCTCAGGAACCTCACCATCTGGCCAATGGCTGGGTTGTATTCTCCTTGGCATCCAGGCTAGACAAGCACCATCCAGATCTCTCTGTGTCTCCCCACTCCTGTCTCTGTCTTTCTCATTGTATTTTAAAATGACATTTTGAATCCTTGCTGACTCACGAATGGTGATAAACAATAATGTGTGTTTAACAGCCAGCTCCCTGGAGTGGCCCCCATGTGCAGCTTTTGCCGACTGCATTGGTGTAAACACTCTCACTCCAGCCAATTGCACATTACCAGCATGACCAAGGTGGAGCTGGGAAGAGGTGTGCCGTAGCAACAGAATATTTACTATACAGATACAACAGACAGCAACAACATCAAGAGCATTTGTTGTTGTTGTTATGTGCCATTGAGTTGCCTGTGACTCATAGAGACCCTGTGTACAACAGCTCTGTCCTGAGCCAGTCTCACTGACTCTAACACACTTACCCCCATTACCCCAGTTACTTTGTCAGTCCATCTCATCCAGGGTCTTCCTCTCCTGCGCTGTCCCTCCACCTTTCTGAGCAAGATGCCCTTCTCTAAGTAGTGGTCCCTCTTGGCCACATACTCAAAGTATGTGAGATGGAGCTTCAAAGTCCTAGCCTCCAAGGAGAAACTTGTTTCACCCTCTCCAAGACAGACCTGTTTTGTTCTCTTGGCGGTCCATGGTTCAATACTCTTCTCCAGCACCACAACTCAAAGGCATTGATTCTTCTTCTGTCATCCTTAGTCATTTGTCCAGCTGTCTGGTGCAGAGCAAGTAATTGGGCGAATGAAGAACATAAGGGAACAGTGAAACTAGGAAGTGCTGGGTTTTGAGCATGTGTTCCCATTGTCCTAACAGAATTGATCATATCACTGTCAGTGTGTGCTGGTGAGATGATTGCAACTCGCAGCAATTGTATAGTTAATTTACATAGTTTAATTTTTAATAATGACTTTATCTTCTCTCCCCTTTTTTACCAGCTCCTTGAGCAACACTGTGGCAATTGACAAGAGAAGAAAGGGGTCGATCCATTTTGTAAGGAAAATCTATGTGATGGGAAAGCGTCAGCTCTCTTAACCTAAGAAGTCCTGGGGGTGCACTAGTCCCAAGGCCTCAAAGGCAAATTCATTGCCTTAAGTGAGAGCCATCTATGAGCAGGTCTTTGGAGGCTGTAAGTGACAGCACCAGAGGAGACTGCCCATCTTTCTCCCACAGAGCAGTCAGTGGGCTCGAACCTCCAGAGTTAGAATTGACTTAGCAGCACTGGGAGTGGTTTCTCTGGACGGGGGAGGGGAGGAGAGAGATGGTATTGCACAACAAGCCAAATTCCTGAAAATGTTAGCAGTTAGTTCTTCTGAGCTGATAGCTCCGGCCCTGAGCTGGATGAAGACACATACAGGAGGCAGAGAAGTGACAGGTGTGCTGAGTGGACACAAGCCAAGGACGTGAGAGTCATACCATCCATTCTTTTTTTTTTTTTAATCTTATTCCATTATTTTTTTGTGTGTGTACCGTCAAAGCAGATCTGACTGGTACAGGAGGAGATTGTTCCTCCTTCTCCAGCAGAGCATCTGGTGGATTCGAACCGTGCATCTCTGAGATTGCAGTTGCAGCTTCTTGCCACTAGGCCACCAGAGCTCACCCTTATACCATCCATTCTTGATCGAATAGCACGCAGGCCCCTCCGCCCCATCTCCTCCCTCCCAGCTGTCCGCTGGCCCCACCTACCTGCAGCAGGAAGTCAAAGAGTGCCAAGCGGGACCACTCAGTGCGGTGGATGCCCATGCACAGGGCCTGGCCCTGCTGGCCGCAACCATGCACCAGCAGGCCTTGGTACTGCAGCCAGCCTAAGGCCAGTGAGTTCTGGTCATCGTCAGGGTCCGCCAGGTGCTGTACATCCGGTGCCCACCAGATGAGGGGCCTGGCACCCCCATCCGTGTAGCGATAGGGCAGCAGGGGGCTGTGGAAACGCCGGGCCACGGCGGGCAGGCTCCGCTTCAGCCCCAGCACCCTGTCCACATGGAAGGACAGGACCTCCAGCAGGTCCCCTGGCCGCTTGATGAGGCCACAGAGCCCTTGGGAGCAACGCTGGCCGAGGTCAGGTGGAGGCACGTCCTGAAGGGCGCCCTCGGTGGAGAGGCCAACCTGCAGGACCTGCCCGTGGCCGGGCACCCGGGCCTTGCCCACCACCTCTCCTTGGGCCAGCAGCCTAAGGACCTGCACATCATGCTCTGTGAACCATGGGGGAATCTGCCCACTGGTCCTCATGTCCATCAACAGCTCAGAGGTCTCGGTGCCACACCAGACTGATGCTTGCAACTCCTCAACAGAGCCAGGCCACCAGGGAGCCCCCCAGGCTGGGCTGGGGTCTCCTGCGTGTTGACTCTTCTCAGTTCCTGGGAACTCCTTGCCTGCAGCCAGGTGGGGCTGCAGAGAGGGTCCAGCAGTAGCCCTCCAAGTCTGGAAAGTGTTCCTTTCACTCTCTGTGAGCTGGCTGACCAGGGTGCTCCTCTCTGTGTGTGTGGGACTGTCTGCCAAGGGGCGACCATGGTCTCTAGCTCCTGGGCCCCTGGCCCCATCCTCCCTCAGTCGTACAAGATGCCAAGTGCTGAGTCTTGAACCTCCGGGAGCTGCTGACGCCATGTCCCTCCTGACTCTCCCAGGGCGCCTGCTGTCCCCTCCTGGGGAACGCTTGCTTCTGTCCACTCTCTCTCCGCGGCCTTGCTCCTCGGCACAGGCCAAGCTGGAATTCCGGGGCAGAGCCAGGCCTCTCCGCAAGCCCAGGCTCCTTGCCCGCTGCCTCCGGCTGCAGCTCAGAGCCAACCAGCCGTGGGGGACAGAGACACCCGTTCCCCCCTGGGGTTCTGTGGAACCAGGATGCAGGGGCGGGAAGCGGGTGACAACCACTGCAGACAGGGCCATCAGGAGGCAGATTGCCATCACTGACCGCCTCTTGCCACGCAGCCTTCTCGGGAGCCAAGATGCCTGGAGATGAAGAAAGAGAAAGAAAACGTGAGCTCTGGGGAAGATGATGGTTCCGATGTTCAGAGCGGCGAGTGCAGAGCACCCGGGAGCCAAAAGGTGTTGTTAGGTGCCGTTGAGTTAGAACCGACACATAGCTGACCCTCCAGTGGCCTTTCAGAGGCAGTAAATCATACAGGAGGGGACTGTCCATCTTTCTCCCATAGAGCAGCTGGTAGATTCAAAACTCAGGCCTTTCAGTTGCCAGCTCAAAGCCTTGCCACTCACATAGTCCCGGAGAAGACATCTAGCTGCCTTCATAAAAAGAAAGAAGGCTCCTGGCCAACTCACCTCCACTTGGGTTTAAAGTCTCAGCTTGCTCTGCCTCCCTGGGGTCGCCTCCCCTGGGACCTGCAGGCAGATGGATTTATCCCCTGTGGCCCCACTGCCCCTCAGCCACCCCCTCATTAGGACTCTGTCACCATGTACCATTGAATCTTTTTCTACCTCTGTCCCCACCACCACATCCTCGCTCTTCTTCTCATCACCGTGTGATTCTAGGACCTAGGTGGCAGGGCCCATAGACAACACCCTTCCCCTATCCCAACACATGTGACCATCCAGCCACAGGGAGCTTTCTCCCAGCCTCCCTTGCAGCTGGGTGTGGCCACATGACAAAGCCTTTACAGATGGCACCAGAATCAGCCGCTTGTGTTTGCCTCATTTGCCTAAAAAAAAAAAGGCAATCAGGAAGCCGTCCTCATCCTTCCTGTACATGGTCTATGCTTCTCAGGAGACCTTTGGGACCCAGGCCGCCAGGAGCAGCCTCGTCTCAGGCACGGCCCTGCTCCACCAGCACGCTCCGTTCAGAGAACTGGTATTTAACCTCGCCACTGTTGCTCACTGTTAAATGTTGATGAATAAAATACCTTGCCTTTTTAGTTGCCAAAAAAAAAAAAAAAATTTTAAAAAAAGGCAATCGGGCCGGGGGAAGACTGGGCAGGGAGAAAAGTGCAACAATGGAAATCCAAAATTTCTGTAAATTTTCATTAAAATTATTAAAATAATTTTTTTTGTTTTAAAAAAGGCAATCAGCTGCCCGGCTCTTCTCTCTCCCCTTTTTTTCTGCAGGTCTGCAAATGAACGAGGCAGCACTAGGTCCATAAACATGTACAGAGGCTCGATTGGCATGTGAGAGCAGCTGATTTGCACCAAGCCAATGGTCTTGTCTCATCTGCCAGATGGGCAGGCTGCTTCCTGCAAACATGGCTGCTTCACCTGATTCTCCGTATGGCCTCCTCTGCTTCTCTGGCGCTGACCCTCAAGGACCTATTGCTTTTTCATCCTTTAGTTGAGATCAAATGTAATAACCTGAAGGCCCAGCTGGGGTCTCTGGGCTACTAAGAGCACCCCATCTCCACACCCATGTTTGCCTTCAAGAAATACAAACTTGGTTCTGCAAAAGTGTCTCCCCTTCCAATGTTTGGTGTTTTTTTTGCATCCTTTCCTCCTAAACACTCTCTCCCCTCTATTCTTACCCACCTGGCAACCACTTCAGCCCCTCTATGAACCCCACTGCTTTTTATATCCCTCCCAGATATTTTCGTATCTAGCTCCTAATTTTTCTGAAAAGGGAATTTGCATTCTGCCTTCCCTCCTCTGTGCTGCTTTTGGAGGCTGTCAGTAGAAGAGGAGAATGCAAAGTGGATGCAGCCCCGTGCACACCAGCAGCCCTCAATGGGGCGTTCTTAAGAAGCAGAGGCACATTCCTTTGCAGAAGGCGGTGATGGGGCCACCCACAGACTCTTTCCCAGTCTCTGTGTTCAGGAGCCTCAGCGCACAGGGAGCCTGGGGAATCCTGGGAATCTTGCACGTTTGCAGCAGGACTCGGGTGGTGAGCCAGCTCCGGATGAAGACCATGCGGAGTCCAGGTGGGCTGACCACACTGCAGCCCTCTCAAGAGACCACCCACCACAGCTAGATTTCTAGGCATCAGGAAGACAGCAAGGAGCCATTAGATCCACCAGAAGGCCTCTACCTCGTAATGAACTCACCCTCTCTCTCAAAGTAGCCCTCCTTCTGTTTAAAAGCTGACGAAAAGGTAGACAGTAAGTACAAATATTTTTGTTATTATTAATTTTAATTAAAATTTATAGAGATTTTGGATTTCCATTCATTCATTGTCACACTTTTCTCCCTGCCCACACCGCCCCCCCCAAACACTTTGAAAAGTAAAAGAAAAATTCTTTCATTGTTTTACAATCTCCCAGGTTCACTCCACTATACAGCCTTCATTCTGGACTCATGTCATCACAAAAATACCTAATCATATTTTCCTTTTAAACAGTTCTCTCCCTCATCTGTTGCAATGCAGTATACATTATTTATCCTATCTTTCTCAGTCTTCCCCCAACCCCAATGTCAGTCCTGTTTTACAACAGTGGCACCATGCAGTATTTGTCCTTTTGTGACTGGATACTTCACTCAGCATAATGTCCTCCAGGGTCACCCATTTTGAATAATATTTCATGAGTTCCTTGTTTTTCAATGCAGCGTAGTATTCCATTGTGTGACTATACCACAGCTTCTCTATCCATTCGTTTGTTGATGGGCACTTAGGTTGTTTCCAACTCCTTGCTATTGTGAACAAAGACGCAATAAACATGAGTGTGCATTTTTTTTTTTATATTTTAAGTATCCTTTTTAGGCCCATACTTATTTCTGTCCAGTATGAGCTCACCCTCTAAGGATGCAAATAGCTGGAGAGGAGATTACCATCTTTCTCCCGCAGACGCTCTGGTGGCTTTGAACTGCTGGAGGGACATTACCATTGGATGAGCAGCACAGCTCTCTGTGACTAAGCCTTCGAAGCTCCCTTACTCTTGTATCGTTAGACGCTGTCAAGTCAGCTACAGCACATAGCGACCCTATGGACAATGAACATGAACCTTACCCTATCCTGTGCCGTCCCTGTCATCTCTGACACACTTGAATCCCATTCTTGTGGTCACTGTGTTACATGCCTCTTGACATGTTCTCAAATAATAAAAGTCACATATATGTTGCCATATTGCTTTGCACAATGATATAATGTTGGGTTTTTAGTTAATATTAATTTGCTTACAAAGTTTCTATACATTGTGTTCCACACTATTCTTCATTCACTTTGCATTTCATACAATCATTCCCATGCATTATGTTTTAGAAAATGAATCACCATTGGACCTTGCCCATCGTTACCCTGTCTTTTCAGGTCCTTGCTGGATTCTTCCCATCTCCTTGACCCTCCCTCCAGCCACCAAATTGTGCAATCCTGTGGTTTCGCTCACAATTCTTTTAACGTACATGTTGTTGTTGTGTACCATGGAGTCTGAACTGACCCACTGAACCTCTGGCAGGTTTTCAGAGGCAGCTAATATCAAGGGAGGAGACGGCCCATCTTTCTCCTGCAGAGCAGCTGGTGGATTTGAACTGCGTGCTTTGGGGACTACACTGCAGCTTCTTATGCACTAGTAAGTTGAAAGATGTGAATTTAGAGAATTTCTGAATTTAGAACTGAAGGGACAGTTCACAAGAGGAAGATCCAAGGTGAGATAGACTGACACAGTAACTGGGGTGATGGGGGTAGGTGTATCAGAGACAATAAGACTGACTGGCCCAATATAAAAAAGGATTCGGTTATTGTACACAGGGTCACTATGAGTCACAGTCAACCGGATGCCAACTAACAACAACAACAACACATGTTAATTATGTTTTGCATAAAGGTATGTACACTACAGTTTATACTATTTTTTTTTTAGTCTTCAATTTCTGTGCTTTTTATTTTATCAACTGTGGTTTTATTCCCTTACTACTAGAATGTATAAATGCGTGTCCAATTATCGTTCTCTTCAACATTTATGATTTTACAGCTCCTATCAGATTCCTACCTTTTTGAATCACCTAAAAAGCCAAAGTCATTCACCTCTGACTTGTCTTGCTTCACTGCCTGTAATTATTTCAGCCGACCTTGTCTAAATTCTTTCTTGTCGAGCACTGTCATTTTTTTGAGATGAAGAAGATAAAATGGAATAGGCCATTCAAAATTAGAATGCATTCTTTGCTGAATACAGTTTATTCTTCTTGGCTGGCTTAACAATATGTCCTGAAGCTTTCCTCATTAAGCATCCACCTAACAAAAACTCAAATTCGCTGCTATTGAATCAGTTCTGACTTGTAGTCCCCTCCATCTGGTTTCCAAAGCTGCAGAAACTGACCATCTTTCTTCTGCCTGGAGCTGCTGCTAGACTTAAATCACCAGCGCTGCTATGGACGACACTCCCTAACTATCCGTATGTTACCACGGGGCATCAATCCTCCAGTGGGTTTTCAGGGACTGTAATCACATAGGAGGAGACTGCCCATATTTCTCCAGCAGAGAAGCTTCAAATCTGTCTTTGGGCCGCAGTGCAGCTTCTTACCCACTAGGCCGACAGGGCTCCCTTCATTTCCATGACATATAACACTCACCGTCTCCTTCAGTTCTCACAAGAAGCCAGCAAGGGAATGGGAATGACATCATCCTTATTTTACAGATGAGAAAACCCAAAGGGTTAGAATGCTAATGCTTTGCTCAGGGTCACGCAACTGGCAAAGAAACCGGGACAGAGGGCCACGCACAAAGAAGAATGCTATTTTCTTTTCCCCTTTTCCAAAAAAGAAAAATGTGTTTTCAAGTCGGATACATAATCCGTATTCTCAAAGTTATAGATGCCACTAGGGAGAAATAAATCATCTTTCTACAACATTTCAAGCAGACAGGCGGTTTTTGATCCTTCTCTCCCAGCCTTTCTTGGCTTCAGACGACCTGGGGTAAGTTGGCAGCTGTACAGCTGTGCAGGGAGAAAGGTTCAAAACGGCCCTGAGCAGACGGCCCCCACAGGGCCACCCAAGGAAACCTTCAGGGGGAAAGAAAAGCAGCTTTGATTGAACTGAGGAAACATCCTCTCATGAGGAGCAGTCAGCTGCACAATAAATAATATAATAGAGAAAGGGGAGTGACGCATCAGAGACTAGAAAGTTGGCTGTTGGAACCCAACCCAACCCACCCTGACACCTGAGCCTGCTACCCCCTCGCGTTCTCATTATCCAAGACAGACAGAGAGAGAGAGAGAGAGAGAGAGAGAGAGAGAGAGAGAGAGACTTTTCTTCATTGCAATCATCACAGCAAGAGGGAAAGACAAACAGTATGGTCTTCACTGTCTGCATCTACAGAGGCCCCATTTCTCCTCCCTCCTCTCCCTCCCTGAGCTCTCAGTACTCACTCCTCTAGCATGGCTCCTCCTTGGCTCCTCAGAGAGGATGCCCCATGGCCCCACAGTCCCATCAACCTTGGCTGCAAAGTGTTGTTAGGTGCCACCCAGCTGACGACTACTCATAGCGACCCTACAAACAGCAGATCCGGACCTTGCCCTAATAACCCTGAACCCTCCTCATCACCTCTGTCATACTCAAGCCCATCGTCACGGTCACTGTGTCATTCCATCTTTTTGAGGGTCTTCTTTGACCCTTCACCTTTCCCAGCATGACATCTTTTTCCAACAGGCCCCTGCCAACACGCCCACAGTGTATGGGATCAAGTTTCATCATCCTTGCCTCTAAGGAGCACCCTGGTTATGCTCCCCACCAAGACAGACTCGTTCTCTGGGAAGTTCATGGTGCAGAGTAGGGACTGTTAAAAAAATGGGGATAGAAGAATAGACTTGGAGAAGAATGTGGGACAAAATGCAAAACTCATAAAAATGGCCAAACTTGACTGGTCTGGGAAACAGGCACTATTGTTCTGATGGAGACTGATGGACTCCTCAAGACGAAGGTCCTTAGTTATTCTTTGAGTCTGGAACCAAACTCATCTATGGCCCTGGAGGACATTGTGCTGAGTGAAATATCTCAGTTACAAAAGGACAAATATTGCATAGGGCCACTGTTGTAAAATAGGACTGACATCAGAGTCAGAGTTGAGGGAAGACAGAAAAGGAGGGGAGGAATGATGTACACTGCATTGAAACAGATGAGGGAGAGAACTGTTTAAAAGGGATATATGAAGGGGAGCTCTGGTGGCCTAGTGGTAAGGAGCTGCAACTACAATCCCAGAGGCGCATGGTTCAAATCCACCAGATGCTCTGCCGGGGAAGGAGGGACAATCTCCTCCTGTACCAGTCAGATCTGATTTGACGGTACACT